CCGGGAGAAGCAAGAGTGTTTTTTCCATCTTATTTATTGTTGTAGGAGTTGCACATAAGCTCTTTAAGACAGTACCAACGAAATAAACACATCTGTAAAATCTGTATTAATCACTGAATTTATTCATTTTTAAAAAGCCATTTTAAAGCTTTGCAGTTTTTTTTGTCAAACCCAAAAGAGGATATTTTGAAAAAGGTTGGAAATCTGTAATCTTTGACTTTCATTTCTGTATTCTTTTTTTTTTAAATTACATCATTTATTTATTAAAGGGAAAGTGCAGGCAAAATTGACAATTCTTTTATCATTTGCTTATTATTTAGTTATTTTAAAGCTGCTTGTTTTTCTTTTGTTAAACACAAAAGAAGATATTTTGAAAAATGTTGGAAACCTGTATATCTGTATTCTTTTTAATCACAGCATTTATTAATTAATGGGAAAGTTCATGCTAAAGTTTGATTTCTGTCATCATTTATTTAATCTTTAGGCTTTTTAAACCTGTTTGCATTTATTTCTTCTTAACACAAAAGAAGATACTTTGAAAAATGTTGGAAACCTGTAACCACTGACTTCCATATTTGTATTCTTTTTTTAAATCACAGAATTTATTTATTAATGAGAAAGTGCATGCAAAAATTACAATTCTGTCATCATTTATTTACTCTTTAGTCATTTTACAACTTTGCGTTTCCTTCTTTTGTAAAACACAAAAGAAGATATTTTAAAAAATGTTGGAAACCTGTAACCATTAAATTCCATTTCTGTTTTCTTTTTGGAATCACAACATTTATTAATTAATAGGAAAGTTCATGCTAAAATTAGATTTCTGTCATCATTTATTTAATCTTTAGGCTTTTTAAACCTGTTTGCATTTATTTTGACTTATCACAAAAGAAGATACTTTGAAAAATGATGGAAACCTGTAACCACTGTCTTCCATATTTGTATTTTTTTCTTATCACAGCATTTAATAAAGAGAAAGTGCATGCAAAAATGACAATACTTTCATCATTTGCTTATTTAGTTATTTTAAAACTGCTTCCATTTCTTTCTTCTGTTAAACGCTACAGAAGATATTTTGAAAAATGTTGGAAACCTGTAACCATTGAATTCCATATTTTATTATTATTTTTTTTAATTACTACATATATTAATTAATGGGAAAGTTCTTGAAAAAAATTTATTCTGTCATCAATTATTTACACTTTATTCATTTAAAAACTGCTTGCATGTATTTTCTCTTAAATCAAAATAAGATATTTTGAAAAATAGCGGAAACCTGTAACCATCGACTTCCAAATTTTATTTTTTTTTAAAATCACAACATTTATTGATTAATGGGAAAGTTCATGCAAAAAAAAAATTTATGTCATAATTTATTTATTCTTTAGGTATTTTAAAGCTTTGCATTTCTTCCTTTTGTCAAAAGCAAAAGAAGATATTTAAAAAAATGTTAGAAATCTGTAACCATTGACTTCCATATCTGTAGTTTTTTTTTTAATAACAGCGTTTATTATTATTATTATTATTTATTTATTTATTTATTTCATTAATGGGAAAGTTCTCATAAAAATTACTCTGTCATCATTTATTTACTCTTTAGTCAATTGAAACCTGTTTGCATTGAACACAAAAGAAGACATTTGAAAAATGTTGGAAGCCTGTAACCATTAACTTCCATAGTATTTGTTTTTCCAACTGAAAGTCAATAGTTAAAGGTTTTCAGATTTCTTCGAAATAGCTTTGTGTTCAACAGAAGACAGAAACTCATAAAGGTTTGGAAACACTTTAAATCTGTATTATAAAGGAAACAAATACATAATAAAGTGATTTTAATAATGCAACAATTATAATGTAAATAAATTAAAATGATAAAACAAACATCGATATTTTAAAGTCGTAATAATGCAATTTTTTAATTAAATGCATTTATATGATTAAATAATAATAATGCAAGCAATCATTTTTTTAACATGCATTTAGGGTTTTAGACTAATAAAATACAGATTCTATAGCATCTTCACATTATTAAAATACAATGTTAATGTAAAAAAAACAGCATTACATAATTAAAATACACAAATTATGGTAGTAATGCAATTTTATTGTTTTCTTTAGTTCAATAAATGTTATAAAAGTCATTAATTAAACTTTTTAGCTTATGAAAATATTCCTGGCTCCTCTATATGTTTGATTTGTCTATATCATTAGAATTCAAAAATAGACCAAGTTTGACTGACAGACATTGAAGCTACTGACAGAAAAAAAAAAAATATATATATATATATATATATTTGGTGAGGTGGCTGAAAGGTCTGAAGTAAATGTGCCAAACACACCAAAAATGATGAAATAAATAAAGAAATGATGTGCCACACTAAAAGTATTTTGACTTGTGTGTTCAGCGCTCATTTCTCGGTCACACACATGAGGTGTTTCTGAGAGCGCTGAAGTGCTGTGAAATGGACAGAACCAAAGCGAGAGGGGCGAGTAAAAATAAATCCACAAGTGCCAGTCATTGGGGAAAGTGGACAAAATGACCACAATTGACAAAATAGCAAGACTTGATGCTGCAGACACAGTTATCCAGTAATGGAAAACTTCCTCCATCATGCAGTTACGCTGGCACTTTGGTTATACCGGCTCACAGCTGAAATTGATGCCACTTTTGGGATGCATCATCAGTTTGTCCTGGTGTCAATGTGTGTTGTGGAACAGATCATTTCTGGCAAATGCATATAGAATACAGATTTTAATTTTAATGTTTTTTTTTTACTTAATTTAATTTGTATTGATTTTACATTAAATTGCATTGTTATTATTTTAATAATGAGTATTTATTTTATGTTTCTTAATTAACCTTTAAAGTTGTGAACTGCTTAGCAATGCAAATTACTAATCACAAATAGATGTATTTACAATAGGTCATTTACAAACTGTACATTATACATACATACATACAATAAACATATTTCTCAGTTCTCAAAAATGTAGCCCAGGACATATTTTCCCAATGATTTTAGGAACGCATTCTGTCATGTGTGTGTTTGAGAGTGTGCTGGTGTGTAATTGTGCCGTGTGTGTGTTTTGTGTGTTCAGGAGTGTGCAGGCGAGCCTCTCTTCATGCTGTACTGTGCCATAAAGCAGCAGATGGAGAAAGGACCGATCGACTCCATCACTGGAGAAGCCAGATACTCACTGAGTGAAGACAAACTCATCCGACAGCAGATCGACTACAAAACACTGGTCAGTGGCACACAACATCAAGCAAACCGCTCTGAATAAGCCCGAAACAAAGATGAATATTTGGACGTAATATACAGAATACAGTCAGAATTATTTGCCCCCAACCCCCAAATAACTTTTTTATAAATATTTTTTTTTTTATAAAATATTATTAAGACTTTTCAACAGATTTCTAATCACAATAGTTGTAATAACTCATTTCTAATAACTGATTTCTTTTATCTTTGTCATGATGACGACAATAGTTGACTTGATATTTTTCTAGATACTAATATTCAGCTAATTTGACATTTAAAATGACAAAAATTACAATTCTGTCATCGTTTATTTACTCTTTAGTCATTTTAAAACTTTTCATTTCTTTCTTTTGGCAAACACAAAAGAAGATATTTTGAAAAATGTTGGAAACCTGTAACCATCGCCTTTCATATCATATCATGGGAAAGTGCATGCAAAAAATGTTTATTCTGTCATTGCTTATTTACTCTTTAGACATTTTAAATCTGCTTGCATTTCTTTCTTTTGTTAAACCCAAAAGAAGATATTTTGAAAAATGTTGGAAACCCGTAACCATTGACCTCCATATCTGTTTTCTTTTTTTTAATCACAGCATTTATTTGTTAATGGGAAAGTGCATGCTAAAACTTCATTTCTGTCATCCTTCATTTACTCTGTAGTCATTTTAAAACTTTGCATTTCTTTCTTTTGGCAAACACAAAAGAAGATATTTTGAAAAATGTTGGAAGCCTGTAACTACTGACTTCCATTTCTTTATTCTTTAGTTTTTTTTAATCAGCATTTATTCATTAATGGGAAAGTGCATGCTAAAAAATTTATTCTGTCATCATTTATTTACTCTTTAGTCATTTTAAAGCTGCATGCATTTCAAGTATTCACACTTACAGATTGCTTGACGCTATTAGCAGGTTTGGCATGCTGTCCCAGGAGAGAACCCTGAGCTCGGAAATAATTGAGCCTAATTCCCGCCTCGTCGATTGAGCATGTAAGGGGAGTACGAGATCAGGTAGTTCTCGAGAGCTCCCCGTGGTAAAGGAAGAAAGGGGGAGAAGGGGGGGGGGTTTCTTTTCGGAAAACGAAGATCAGGGAGTAAGTTTTTGCCAGGCTACTTATAGTGAGTTTGGATTAATCTGATTGGCTGACTAATGATTGTAGATGAGACCAGCTGCGGTCAATCATATCACGTGCTCCTCTTGAATTCCCTCCTCTTCTTTCTTCTGTCATTGTTTATTTACTCTTTAGTCATTTTAAACCTGTTTGTATTAAAAACAAAAGAAGATGCTTTGAAAAATGTTGGAAATCTGTAACCGTTGACTTATGTGTTTGTTTTTCCTACTGAAAGTCAATGGTTACAGGTTTTCAGCTTTCTTTGAAATATCTTTTAGTGTTCACCAGAAGAAAGAAATGTGATATTAAAATGACATTCAAAGGCTTAACTAGGTTAATTAGGGTAAAATTAGGGTAATTAGGCAAGTCATTGTATAACAGTGGTTTGTTCTGGAGACAATCAAAGCAAAAATTGCTTAAGGGGATAATAATATTGACCTTTAAATGCCTTTTTTTGCTAGCCAAAATAAAGCAAACAAGACTTTCTCCAGAAGAAAAAACATTATAGGAAATACTGTGAACATTTGCTAAATCTGTTCAACATCATTTGGGAAATATTTGAAAAAGAAAACCAGATTCACAGGAGGGCGAATCATTCTGACTTAAAATAATTTTTCTATCTTCCAAAAACATTTAGCAAAAGCAGGTTGATCTCCTGTAGATTGGGTAATGTGTGAGTGTGTTTGTGTGACCTGCAGACGCTGCACTGCATTAACCCTGAGAATGAGAACGCAGCCGAGGTGATGGTGAAATGCCTGAACTGTGACACCGTCACGCAGGTCAAAGAGAAGCTGCTGGACGCCGTCTTTAAGGGCACGCCGTACTCACAGCGGCCCAAAGTCGGAGACATGGATCTCGGTAAGAGAATTATCTGCTTTCTTGTGTTTACAGTGTGCTTTAACAGCTTGAAGAAGATGCTCAGTTAGACTGACCTTTACTCTACAAACTGCACATCCAGAAAATGACCATCAATTTTATACATTCATCTTGTGGATATTTCTCTGAGATTTTGTCATATTAGACATATTGTACATATAAACAGATCATAATTGATTGATTAACAGATTCTAATACGGGCCAAAATAATCGTGGTTATGATTTATTTAATTTTTTTTTCTCCACAATCAAGCAGCCCTACTGATCTGGCAGTAATGCAGAAGTAGGCGTCAACCTTTTGGTGGAGGCGGAGCTTAGCCACACTATTGCATAATAAATAGCCACATTTCACATCCTGTTGCTTTGGCAATTTGACTTTAATATAAGCTTTTTGTTCACTAACCAGAAAGTTTTGAGTTACAGGATGATTTTAATAGTATTCATTTATTTATTTATTTATTTAACGTAGGCGAAAGGGGAGATTTTCTTTTTATTTATTTATTTATTATATTTATTTATTATATTATATTTATTTATTATAGGGGAACAAGGGGAGATTATTTATTTATTTAATATAGGGCAAATAGTGGATATTTTTATTTTATTTATTTGTATTTATTTATTCAATACAGGAAAAAGAGGAGAGATTTTTATTTATTTATTATATTTATTTAATATAGGTGATCAAGTAGAGATTTTTATTTATTTATTTATTTATTTATTTATTTATTATATTTATTTAATATAGGGGAACAACGGGAGACTTTTATTTATTTATTTTATATAGGGGAACAAAGGTTTTTTTTTATTAATTAATTTATTTATTATGTTTATTTATTTAATGTAGGAGAACAAGGGGAGATTTTTATTTATTTTATTTATTTATTTTTATTTAATACAGCAGAAATATTGTATAAGATTTTTTTTTTTTTTTAATATAGGGGGAAAAGGGGGAGATTTTTATTTAATATATTTATTTATTTAATATTGGGGAACAAGAGAAGATTTTTATTTTTTTTATTTATTTATTTATTTAATATAGGGAACAACGGAGGACTTTTATTCATTCATTTTATTTATTAATTTATTGTATTTCTTTAATATAGAGGAAGTAGTGGATATTTTTATTTTATCTATTTTTATTTATGTATTATTTTATATATGGGAACAAAGGGAGATTTTAATTTATTTATTTAATACAGGGGAAAAAGGGAATATTTTAATTATTATGATTTATTTATTTATTTATTTATTTAAAATCTTTGCTTAAATGGCCAACTCATAATTGATTCAAAAAGTCATGATTACAATATTGACGCAAATAATCACGGTCACTAGCCAGAATGTTTTAAGTTCTGAATCTTACAGGATGTTTTTAATAGTACTCTGTCATCTTATTCTAACTGTGCGTTTTGTGTGTTCAGAGTGGCGTCAGGGTCGAATGGCACGTATTATTCTCCAGGACGAGGATGTCACCACCAAAATCGACAACGACTGGAAGCGTCTCAATACTCTGGCACACTATCAGGTAACAGCAGCGCATCCTCTGCCTCTACACCCCACTGCTCAGTACCCATGGCAACTACATCCGCAAGTTACTAGGTAACAATTGGAGCTTTTTTACACATAGCGCACGAACAGGTAACCACAGCAACAATGAAGATGCACTGCTGTACAGGAGATACACTTATATTATATTATGAGTGATCTGGCAATGCTTTAGTTTAGGGATCATTCTTAGTGTTTCCTAATGTCTTAACATTAATGTTTTGAGGATGATGGCTGTTTATAAGGCACATTAATATATCATGTTGCATCATTTTGCTCCTAATTTTACACCATACCCTAATTTAATTACTGCAGCTATATTATATATAAGTATGGAGAAAAAAAAGAAAAAAAAACATTTAATCAAAATAACCCAATGTGTTGGGCTAAATTATATAATAATTAAAATAGCCCATAGTTGGGAAGGTGCTATAATATAACAACCTATAGTTGAGTTAAATGTTGGGCTGTTTTTAACCCAACTAGTTTAACAGAGTAGAGGCATTTGCCTTTCATATCAGCCACTTCTGATACCAAGTGATAAACTAGAAGTCAAGTGATAATTTGTTGTTCCTGCAACTTGCATAGGCCACAAGACTTTTGTAGTGTACGTGTGATATTGCAAATTCAACACAATTCTTTTTGTCTTTATTTGTCTTTACAAATGAGAAAATTTCAGTTTTAAATTCGATTCTATTTCAGATATTTAATATGATGACTGGAATTATAACTTAATATAACACAAAGAGTGTTTAGAGTGTGTTTTTTTGCATCTAGTTGTTTATAAAACTAATTTAACAAGTGTTTTAGGTTTATACAGAATTATTATTTTCTAAAAAATCCAAATTGTTTAATTGATATTGTGAAATATCAGTTTCACAATACAGAATTTATTTGTTGAACTGTTGTGTTTAAGAAAATGCTAAATAATTTAACTATTTAAATTATTATAATATAAATGTTGTCATGTAAATACTGTGAACACATCTATTAAATATTATATACAGTGCTCTCTCTGTGATCGTAGGAGTTACGTTCTAAAAATAGCCCGCAACAGGTAAAATCTGCAAAGTAGACAGCTTTATTTATTAATTTTTTTACATTTTTTGTTATTATACAGTTGAAGTCAGAATTATTAGCCCCCCTGAATTATTAGCGCCCCAGTTTATTTTTTCACTAATTTCTGTTTAATGGAGGGAAGATTGTTTCAGCACATTTCTAAGCATAATAGATTTTAAAACTTATTTCTAATATCTGATTTATTTTATCTTTGACATGATGACAGTAAATAATATTTTACTTGATATTTTTCAAGACAACTTCAAGTGACATTTAAAGGCTTAACTAGGTAAATTAGGCAGGTTAGGGTAATTAGGCAAGTTATTGTATAACGATGGTTTGTTCTGTAGATTATAGAAAAAAAATTAGCTTAAAGGGGCTAATAATTTTGTCCTCAAAATTGTTTTTAAAAAATTAATAACTGCTCTTATTCTAGCTGAAATAAAACAAATAAGACTTTCTCCTGAAGAAAAAATATTATCAGACATACTGTGAAAATCTCCTTGCTCCGTATAAAATAATTTGGGAAATATTTAAAAAAATAAATAATTACCTACTTGATTAGCATCATCATATTGATGCTGATCATTGTGCAGAATGCAGTTATTGTCTGATGTAGTCTGT